TTCTGACACAAAGTATAAGTGGACAATAATAGTCCAGATATTAAATATGCATGTGAAAATAATGCAAAACATTTCAATATTTTTATATTTACTATATGCTAACTAGATAATTTAAAGATATTGATATAAGTGAGATATATTAAGAGTATGCTAAAATTAAATCAGTCTAACTAAAAGGAGTATTACATAATTTCATTTATGTGGGGAATCTAAAAATTTTATTTTGATTTCTCTCTACAACTGGAGAAATATTTTTTTAGATAGAAAAATGGTTGCTGGCAATGTGAAAGACAGAAATGGAGCAATAGGGGACAAAGAGAAACAAATCGGTCTATCTAAAAGCAACAGTGCTAAAGTCTGACATACTGTGAGGACCACTGCCACAATCAGTGCATAGTATTCAGGATTTCTGTTAAATGAGCTAATTATTGTTCTCACCACAGGGAGAAAAAAACGGGCAGCTATGTGAAATGTTAATTTGTTTCACTCTGTTAACCATTTCACTACATCCTTGAGTCTCGTACTCACATGGTGTAGATCTTAAATATGCACAAGAGCTTTTTATGGACATGAGTGTTTCTATGTGTAAGGAAGCCAAGGGGCAACCTTAAGGGGTCATCTTCAGGAATGTCATCAGCCTTCTTTGAGACAGGGTCTCTCATTGGCTAGACTGCCTGGCTAGTGAACCCCGGAACCCCTTGTCTCTGCCTACCCAGTGCTGGGATTACATACAAGTGTGCACCACCACTCACGGCTATTGCTGTAACTTAAAAAGCGGCCCAAGAGAGACAGACGCCATGAGACAGGGAGGGGTTTTTTATTAGGGGAAAAGGGAACATAAAAAGGGGGAGGGGGAGACTGGCCTCTAGGAAGAGGAGCAGTACAAGAGAAGAGAGAGGCAGAGAGAGAAAGGAATATACAGAGAGAGATGGTAGGTGGGCAGAGACATTTTAAAAGGGAACATAGTGAATGTGCACAGGAGGGGCTCTTGGTGGCTGCAGCTAAGAACATATGCTGTCAAAACCTCAAAGGCAGGCCAGTACAGATGTCTGAATACTAACAGCTACGTTATGTGGGTACCAGGACCAAACACAGACCCACCACTTGCAAGGCAAGTATGTACTAACTAAGTCACCCCTTTATGCTCACAATAATATTTTTCATTGTTCTTTGTTTTTTTCAAGACAGGGTTTCTTTGTGTAGCCCTGGCTGTCCTGGTTGTAGACCAGGCTGGCCTCGAACTGACAGAGACCCACCTGCCTCTGCCTCTTGAGTGCTGGGATTAAAGACATGCTCTACCCAGTTACAATAATATTTTTTAAAACAATCTTATTTTACATACCAATCCCATTTCCCTCTCCCTCTGGTCCTTCTGCAACCCCCACTTTCTACCCATCCAACCCCCATTCACTCCTCAGAGAGGGTGAGGCCTCCCATGGGGAGTCAAATCTATCAGTAATTGAAATACCCATTTCATGGGGAGTCACATCACTTGAGATAGGACCAAGACCCTCCCCACTGTATGTAGGCTGAGCAAGGTGTCCCTCCACAGGGAATGGGCTCCAAAGAGCCAGCTCATGTGCTAGGGCCCACAAACTGCCCAAGCCACACAACTGTCACCCACATTCAGTGGGCCTGGTTCAGTCTTATGCAGGTTCCCCAAATGCCAGTCCAGAGTCAGTGAGTGCCCCCTTGTTCAGGTCAGTTGTTTCTGTGGGTTTCCCTATCATGGTCTTGGTTCTTTTGTTCATAACATCACTTCTCCTTCTCTATGACTGGACTCCAGGAGTTCAGCCCAGTGCTGTGGATCTCTGCATCTGCTTCCATCAGTTGTTGGATGAAGCCTATGATGACAATTAAGGTAGTCATCAATCTGATTACAGAGAAACGGCAATTAAGGTACCCTCTCCACTACTGCCTAGATTCTTAGCTGAGGTCATTCTTGGGGATTTCTGGGGATTCTCATACTACAAGGACATTTTCTCAACTATGTTCGTAGTTGCATTATTCATAATAATCAGAACCTGGAAACAATCTAGATGCCCATCACAGAAGAATGGACAAAGAAAATGTGGTACATTTACACAATGGAGTACTATTTAGTGGTAAAAAAAAAAAAAAACAATGACATCTTGAAATTTGCAGTCAAATGGATGGAACTAGAAAAAACTATCCTGAGGGAGGTAACCCACACACAGAAAGACAAGCACAGTGTGTTCTTATTCATAAGTGGATATTAGACATAAAACAAAAGATAACCTGCCTATAGACAGGAAACAAGGAGAACCCAAAGAGGGACATACATGGATCCCCCTGGAAAGGGAAAATAGAAAAGATCTCCTTAGTAAATTGGCAACATGGGAGGAGGGGCACTAGGGAAGTGGGGAGGGGAGGAGGGGGGAGGAACATGAGGGATCAGGAAGATTAGTTGGGTGAAGGACAGAGAGGGAGAGCAAGGAAAGAGGGGGCCATTATGGGGTTATCGGGAAACCAGGCAACTAGGAAAATTCACAGTAACACTTTTGATTAAGTGAGCTTATCTATTTCTTCTTAACTTTGCAGCATGTCTATACTTTTACTTATACAGGTGGCTTATATTTCCTATAGACAGCCCTGCTCTGTGCTATTCTGAATCTATTATTTTGTTTATTTATGTTCAACAAAGGAACAGAACATTGTTCAATTTGGGAGTATTAGCATTTGGCTTTTCTATCAAGCAAACCTAGCTTAAGAAAGACACAAACTCTCCAAAAATAGCAAGACTGTCACTTCTCCCTACCTTGCCCATTCCCCGGGTACTGTACAAAATGGAACAGAGCCTTGTTCATGCAAACACATAAGTACTCTGTTCTTCAACACTTCCCAGCTTTACAATGGAAGCACTTCGGGAATGTATTCTACAAAGAGAAAGTCCCGTCTTCTTCTGCTCCTCTGTCTCAGGTGAGTAGAGCATCCTCAGCTGGTCCTTTTCCTTTGCTGCCGCTGCTGTCTATGGAAAGGGCTGGTCATAGAAGAATCACCTCAGCCTGCTCCTCCCTGCCTGTCCCCCAGAAGCTACATGTTCCAGTAACAACATTAGGGCTGGTTCTCACCCTCTCCCAACCAAATGAAGAACCGAAGCTCACAGCCTGGGTTTCTCGTTTTAAGAAACAAGCTTGAAGCATGCCAGTCCTGACCAGCTCCTGCTCATCCTCTCAAATGCTAAGAATTCCTCCTTACAGGATCTTGATTTCTCAAGATCAACGGCTGATGCTCAGAATCATCTTCTCTAGCACTCCACCAGTGTCCTCCTATCCAGTGAACGTCATCACCAGTGTTCTGCCAGCTCCCATCCCACCACAATGGCATCTGTAATAAAAGTATACCTACATCTTTAGCAGGGGGTGCACACCATCATCCCGGCTCTGAGAAGCTGAGGCAGAGAGATCTCAGGTTGGAGGCTAGCCTGGGCTACACGGGGAGACCTTGAAAGCAAAAGGGTGGAAGAGAGGAGGAGGAAAGGGAGAGGGAGAAAAGAGGGCAAGTGGAGAGGGAAAAGAAAAGGAGAGGAAGACGGAGAGTAAGGACATCGAGAACTGGGAGCCGAAGGAAACAAAGTGAAGCTGGAAGCCTGCGGATGGTGTGCTACCATCGAGGGGGACCACGTGGCTCCGAAAGACTCCCCTGTACCCACCCCTCCTCGGGGCTTAGGCTAGGAATAGTGCTGAGATTCCTTTTAAGTCAGCTTCTTCACATAAGACCAGACAGCTTGTCTTTTCCTTCTAAATTTGTTTTATTTGAGACTGCATTTACCAGTATGATATATATAGGTGCTCATTGACCGTGCATGCAAAGTGAAGCAAAACATCTTTCTTCAATTTGAAATATGGTCTTCAAATTCTAAGAATCCAATATTAAAATTCCCCTGCTGCACTCAGCGACTGTACACCTATCCTACCCTGCATTTGCACTTGCATGGTCCCATTTCAGTCACATGAACATAGGTCTTCAAACCAATTTAGAGTAGACATAGACTTTTGTTTAATACACCCCTTGGTGTTATGGATTTATGAGGTAAATATAAAGTTTCTCGTAGCTAAATGGGTTAACAAGTTTTTTTCACATAAAAAAAAAACTAATGGTGTTACAAACAGGACATTCTGGAGGCTTTCCAAGAACTGACACTCACTTCCAGTTAACAGAAATTACACCAGTGTATTCTTAGAAATCCCTATGTTCTTTCTTTTCTGCACAGGACTGGTGGGGGGGGGGGTTAATTGCTCTTTGAGGTGGTGCATATCAAATACACATGACTTGGTGTGAAAATGTGAGGGGATTTTTACTACTATACATAGTTTCCAAGAAAACGCACACAAATTCTCCTAGAAATAGGTTGAAGAGGTATGTAGCAGGTTTACCACGCCCAGATAATTTTTGTATAAATTATTTATTTTTGAGATTATAATAAGATGATATAATTTTCTTCTTCCTTTTCCTTCCCAAGCTGTCCCATTTGTCCTCCTCACTCTTTTTTCAAATTCATGATCTCCTTTTTCATTAATTGCTATTACACACATATAAGTATACATATATAAAACTAAATATACAAGTGTAATCTGCTCAGTTTGTATAATATTAATTATAGTGTTACTTGCGTGTATGTTTCCAGAGCTGATATCCTCCCTGAAGACTTTCATGGACCAGAAGGCACTATGCAAGCTTCTAAAGAAGGGAAGCAGTCAGCTGTCTTACCCAGCTATGATGCCCATGAATCACATCAACAGCCAGCATGGAGCAATAACCCTAAGGGTGTAGTGGTGCACATATGTTGGCAGTAACCAACAGTTCTCTAACAAGATTTCAGACATGCCCAACAAGAGGAAAACCGTGCCTGGTACTAGAAACCTAGTCAACCACCTGAGACTAGTGAAGTCATGGATCTTGGAGAAGAAACTACAATCACCGCTTATTAAACTAGCGTGATTCCTAACTACAACCTAAATACATGTCCTTATACTCACAGGTAAGTGTGCCCCTCACCCCTCATGAAGAAAAGTTCTCTTTTCAATAGACCTTTACAAAAAAAAAAAAAAACACACAACCAATCAAAATGCAGGGTTGTAGAGTCCCAGTCCCCGTGGATAAAGATATAGCACAACTCCTGCACCTAAGGCTCAAGGAACATTTTGGAAAGATTATTAAGAGGCAGAAAGACAGGGACTTTGCTGTGAGGTTGCATCTCCTGTGAATGTCAAAAGTTATACCCAAAAAGTCTTATATCATTTTTTGAATTGTAAAAACACTGTTCTAAAAATTAACAATGCTTTATAGGAAAAGGATCATTTCCTTGGTAAAATAATAATAATAATAATAACTGAAGCTGACTCTCTGTTTTTAATAGTATAGCTATTTTTTCTTATTTCTTTATCTGATTATCAGGCAGATACTGTGTCCTTGTGTCCTGTACAGAATTTAAAGACAGGCTTAGTTTCACAGAAACTACGAAGAAGAGAAAATAAGACTTTAAGAGAGAGATACAAAGTAATTTATACTGTATAAAAAAGAATGAACTGTGAGAACACTGCCTTTCAGTGCCATATACCCTGTTGGCATTGGCTCCTACACTTAAGTTCTTAACTCTCTTGAAGATTTTCACACTTGATACATCCTATCACTCTCAATGAGCTAAGATAATGGTGTTATCGTAACTTTGCCATAAGAAAATAACAAGTCTAGAGATTTAAATGATGTATCCAATCACGCAAAGCATATATTAGCCAGTGACAAGCCCTGTCATATTACCTTCTGTACAAGCAAGATTGTAAATGCATTGTACCTCTTTATGCTGGCCATCAACTTTGCAAGTTAGAATGTCCTACGGTCTTGCTGCTTTGGTTCTTTGGTACCTAACATATCATTTGACCACAGTACAAAGGGAATTTTAGTGAGACTCTGTTGTCTAATAATATTGACTTAGGTTGTGCTAGAAGCAGTCCCTGTATGGGGCCATCCTTGGATGGAGATACCACTGTTCTCGTGTTACTAATAGAAAAATATTAAGGTGTGGAGAACTGAAGTTGTCTGTGAAAAATCACCTAGGTAACAATGGTCAGAAAGGAAGTGGAGCCTTGGCTCTCTAACTGCTGAGTTCACATCTAAACTAAACCTTCCTAGGACTTTTCAAAGATTGCAGCAGAAATCTCAACTTTCAAGCAACAAAACAACTTGAAAGATCAACAGAGTAAGTAGTAGACCAGAGCTGCTCTCCACACCACCAGAGGATTACCCTGTTCATGAAACTTAATTAAAGAATTAAATGCTTACAATCTCTTTTATTAGTAACTATGAGGGGTAAAATGCCTCTTAGGACAGTTACATGTTCAATAGCCCATTCTGTACTCCCCTGCTATGTCTATCTTAACTTATAAGGCGACTGAGCTGTGAGGTGTGGTAGAGCACACTTAAAAGTCCAGAACATAAAACAGGGGACATAAAAGCATGAGGTTTGTAAGCCGAGGGCCAATCTGACTCATATAAAGTGTTTCAGCCAAGCCTGGACTCCTTAACAAGACGCTATCTCCCAGTGAGAATCTATGAGCTGTTCTGAGGAAGTCTAACACCTCTCTGTTCTCCAGAGGTGAGTTTTGTTACTCTACGACTCCCATGCTGGAAGCCTGACATCAACCCATTACTTCAGCTCTGTCAGATTAGAGTACCTGGGAGTTCTACATCCTTCCTTGCTGCTCTAGAAAATGCTGGCCTATTGACCCAAGTATTGTTCCCCCTTGGAAATGTCCTTGATTACAGTTTTCCTCTCTAACCAAATGATTGCCCATTTGATGTAGACCTTCCCACCTGTCTTGACTGGATGACTTGTCATAATGCGGCATTAATTTGTCTCCATGCCTTCTTCTAGAGACTGGTGGCATTTGCAGAGCAAGAACCTTGGCATCTTTTTGTCTCCATGGCCGAATACGGCATCTGGAATGGAAACCATTCCATAAATTCCAATTACTCGAAAAATCAGCCAACTCATGAATTCCAATTCCTCCTAACAACATTATTCTCCTAATCTTTAGCCTAAACTAAAAATAATGTATCTTCTTCTTATATCCAACTCTAAGTACCTGACAAGAATATATTTACTTTCTTATTTATAGTTCTATAAAGAAGAATGACCAAGCTTTCTAAACCATTGTCAGGACAATTCCATCCTAGCTCTGACTATATGTGAGTATATAACCTACAATAACCACAAATATAAAGAAAGTAAAAGGGAACCATATTGGGGAAGGTGCAGGAACTCTGGAGAAGGGTAGGGTAAGGAACAGGGGTCGATAACACTAAGGATGTTTTTTACAGCCACATGGAGTTATATTACTTTATGTGTAATGGAAATAACCTACAATATATATGAGTATGTGCATACATGTACATATAAAACTTAATTGAAGTTATACCAGTTGGGATGACACACCCCACAAAAACCATCATCATAGACTTCCTAACAAAAATCCCAGCACCAAGCATGGGAATCCTCCTTTACAGTTGTTGGTCAGGGCATGTAAGGAACTCCCAAAGTCATATAGGCTACTTCCACTTCCCTAGGTTGCATTCCAGCAAATGGAAGTAAAACCCTACTGCTGAAGGCACCTCATGTTTCAGGCACAGGGCTTGAAGAAACAGAGCTACACATGACCTAGAAGATTCCCCACTAAGTACTAGCTTTCACTAAGTACTAGCTTTCACTGTACTTTCTGGCTTTAAAAAAAAAAAGCAATCAATACTCCTATCCAGCTGTAACAGTTACAAACCAAAACAATGGCCGCAATGACAAGCTATCCCAAAAAGTGCAATAGTAGCACTTAAACACTGGGGATAACAAATGGCCACCTCCATGGAAGGGACCTCATGCCTGGTACTGTAACCCACACAACTGTGGATGGCTGGTGCGGCCTTGGGACCTACAGAAAAACCTATTACTGCCACCTTCCTAAGCCAGCATCATTTCTGTGTTTGAAGGACTCCTTCTTATACCTGCAGATAAGAGTGCGTTTCTCACCCATCATCAAAGACGCCTCTTTGAGCAGCGGACGTAGAGCAACAACTGGTCAAAAAACGCAAAGAGCAACTGACTGAGTGGTTCCCGTTCCCAGCTGGTACATCTACAACATTGTGGCAGAGGGGGTGGAAGGACTGGAAGGACCAGAATATCAGGACATCTGCTGTGGGATACGTAAGACAGAGAAGCTGCACCCATGAAATCACAACAGTACTCCTGTCCAAAGAGGACCTGAAAATGACAAGTGATATTCTCTCTGATGAGAAAACCAGGGTGGATTTTATACAGTTAATGGGGTTTTGTTGAGCGCGTAATTTGTCCCACTAAAAGGTATCCCCGACCCAGAAGAGGCAATTTGGCTGAAAGGCAAATGCTGTGTGCTTCAAGAAATAGATATGTAATTATAATATTCCTTCTTATTCCTCCACTCCCCAGAGATTCCTCAGAGGCTATTCTGCCAGGGAAGAGCAGGAGGAGAAACGGTGCGGCAGGACAAGGGCTAAGGTGGGAGTTACCTCTTCACACATCCCAGGTGTCTCTTACCTCATTGTAGAGTCTAAATGGCCCAAAATGGAAAAGAAAGGTAATGAGTAATGAGGAAAAAAAACCACTTCACTGCCCTTGCCTTGCTTTCCGGTGGTGGGCAGCTGATGACATCAACTACCCACAGGATCTCCTAAAACACGGGTTCCTGGGATGAAGTCACTGTAGCCTAATCAACTGCGCTTCTGACCTGGCTGTGGCCACTCCATACTAGAGCCCACCTTACAGGCCATTTAGGGACTTGTCCTCCATGTCACTGCCAATCTTGACTAACACCATCAATCTTAGAAGAAGATACTTTCTACTGTGGTTCAGAGGTGGTTTGAATGTGACCCCAAAGGAGCATGTATTAAAACTGAATCCCTATTGTGGCACACTTAGAGGGTGGAAACTTTGGAATGTGACAGGACTAAATAAGGTCATTAGGGTAAAGCCTTCATGATTGAAACCTGATGGCTTTATAGAAGGGAGCGAGACCAGAGGAAATAATCACACACACACACACACACACACACACACACACACACACACACACACTCTCTCTCACACACATACATACACACACAGACTTACACACTTACTTTCCCTCCCTCACTCCCCCCTCCCACACACATACACACACCCTGACTCAAACAATGCTTGGTCCCCCTTAGTACTCTTGGAGCAGGAAGGCCATTGTCAGAGGAAGCCTCCTGATCTTGAACCTTCAGAGCTAGGAGTCAAAGTAAACCTCTTTTCATTCTTATGCTACCCACGCACCGGTATTTTGTTATGTTAAAGTAACAAAAATCCCAAGTCTGATGGTATTTTATTTGATTATTTATGATTTGAGAAAACAAATTCAGAAATAATGTGTCCTCATTTACTATAAGAGCCCATCCAGAACTGTAACGCTGTTATTACCATTGCAAACCCACAAAGAAACCAGTGGTTACGCCTCTGGAGGAAAGCTCAGCACGGGTCTCTAAAGAATAATACGCTTACTTTGCAGCTATGGAAAAAGTACACTCTTAGAATGCTTTAGTGATCATGCGCTCTCAAACCAAAGCTTTGTACTCTAGAGAGGATATGCACATGCGTGTAAAATAGGACTGAATAGCTTGGCTTCAATAGTCCGTGGCAGAATACTCCCACAATGGCCATTAGCATACCAAGGACCCATAGTAGTTCATTCCAAGATGGAAGCCTTAGGAAGGAGGGATCAGGGATGAAGCCACTGTCTGATCTAAACCGGAGACCTGGAAATCCTGTAAAGTCATCATGGTGGATCTACACTGAAAAGCTTAGGAAACTAGTATCGGATGTCCATGGGGGACGGAAGCAGTACCAAAAGAGTGCTCAGGAAAAATCAAGCCTCCACATGCTGACTGGCTTCCTCTTCCTTTTGTTCTGTTCCGGCTTCCCGTCTACCTTAGCTACTATCCCTCAGGCCAGCTGTCTCTGGAAATGCCTTTCCTGGCACACCCAGAAGTGTGCTTTCATAACCTCCTAGGCAGGCCTTCCTCAGTCCAATCATGTTGGCAGTCAAGACTCACCATCACAGTCCGCATTGTCTCGGCGGCCAAGCAAACTGTCTCCCACCGCCTTGGTGCCCCAGCTGGACCTAGTCAAATGCTGTTTCTCTTTCCGATCACAGCTCCCCTACAGATACAGCTCATGATAGTAGTTACATCGCCTCGCATCATGGCGTCTTCTGTATTCCTGCAGGAGTTCTTTGTTCAGTGTTTCCCTTCTCAGGTCCATTACCAGTTCCAAAGAAATATATGTGCTTTGGAAATACTGAGATAATTGGGGCTCTTTCTATCCCTTCTGAGAGGAATGCAGTCAATAGATCCTAATGGTCCTGCTGCGTTCGTTGTGAGCTGCATCCATTAGGAGAGGTCATCTCCGTTACCTTCACATCTCAAGCTCTCCAAAAGTCACAGACGCTTCGTGGCTTGTCCGTGCTCATCTTTTTTGTCTTCCTTTTAGATCAGAAGAACACTTGGGAGCTTGATTAGCAAGGGGAAACTGAGATCGTTGTTTCTATGACTCACTTTTGCTTGCACTTTCTGAAGCTTCACTGTTTGAAGCCACCCTCCTTCTAACCACATTACCCTGGCCAGAGCACTGAGTCCCAAGATGAAAATGATTAAGCCCAGGCCCCTGGATAAGAAATGAAACAGTCAAGATTTGTTTCGTTTGACTAAAAAAAAAAAAAAAAAAAAAAAAAGCTAGTCTCTGACTGCGAGCAGCACCCACAGTTGAGCTAAGAATGATTTTTGAAACATGTTTACTTTGGGTACTTTTAAAAATATTTTTTTTAATTTTTTTGAGATTAAAATCTTATTACATCATGAACCCCTTCCCTTTTCTCTCTCAAACCCTTCCAATGTACCTCCCTGTGCTCTCTTTCCAAATCACGGTCTTCTTTTTATTTTGTTTTTTATTCAGAGCTCTTATCACTCAAAATGTTGCAGTTCCTAACTCACTGATACAAAGCTAGCTTTGTAGGAGTCAGAGGGGTGGAGGGCACCATGAGAAGAGCCTCAAACAAAGTCGCTGAGAGGTCAAAGAACTTCTGTGCCCGTGGCATACTCCTGGGGGCAGAATTTCTACCTGGAGCCAAAAAGTGTTCCTTATGTCCAGAATAAAGACACAGGGAGTAAAAACACTGAGTAGAAGGTATATGCACCACGGAATGTTATAAATCAAGTGAAACAAGCAAGGATAACACATAGGTTTTAATCTCCCCATTAAATAAAAATGTTCTCGTCTTAACAGCTGATGAGTTGTGCTGTACTAAACAATTCATATGGTATATGCCCAGTGACTCCAACGAATATGTTCTCTGCAGAACAGACTCTGTGTGCCAAGCCTTGAAAGGAAAACACAAGCAACTGGCGACAACAGAAAAATTGATGGAGCCAGTGAAATTGCTTGAGAAGGGAGAAAGGGGGTCACCATTCACCCCATCACTGACGCTTCTATTCCCTTCCCACGGACATCTAAGAATTCAATCATTGTCCGGGGCACCGCTAAAGGGATACTCCTTGGATAGGGTCATATTTGCCTCGCTTCAGAAAAATCTGAAAGCACTTTCGACAATGTAGAATTCAGTTCCCAGAGTCCAGTGGATACGTTCCTCTTGATGCACCAGGGAAACCTGGAAAACTAGGCCACGCTGGCCAACTGCTCCAGGCTGTCATTCAGCTCAGTGACTCTACAAAACAAACAGCAACCTCAGGGGACCTTGGGGCTGGAAAGTGGAACAGGGTGAGTGGCCTGGATGCCAGTGTAGGCTTTGTAGCAGACGAGCAGAGACATGAAGTTTTGACCACGAGAAGCTCCAGGAAGAGGTGTTCAACTCCAGGGGAAAAGGCCAGTCCACAACAAACTTCAAAATCAACATAGAGCATCTACCCAGGTGCCAGCCTTGGCTTTGTTAAAGGGAAGCCCGAATTGCTTTAGGGAACGTGTTGTGATACCCTGAAAAACTCAAAGAGAAGTGCTTCAAAGGCAGGAGCAACAATAGAACTTGCATGTGTAGCCACTGAAGCTTGTTAAAAGAATTTTTGCACAAATGATTATATTGAATCTTGATAGCTCCAAGGGTAGAAGAACAGTAGACATCCTATTATTACTGCTGTGCCCACCTTCCAGGATTATTAAGAAATGATCAATGAAAGCTGGCCCCTCTGCCCTGCACAGAGGCCTGCATCACACGGAGCCCACACAGGCTTGTTTGGAAGGTTGCGCCTCCTGTCCTCAGGCGTTTCTGTCACCAAATGACTCATTTCATCTTAGTGACAGCTAAATCTCGCGTTTCTGAAATGTTCAATCACCATCAAAAAGCCAATTTCCTTCCCCTGTCCTCAACTCTATCCTTCCTCTTTGATTGCTCTCTTAAAATAGCCACACCGCAGTCTAGCAGCCTGAGCCCTTGGTATTTATGTGCCCTCACACGGTCAGGGAGAGAGCACAGAGTTTTTCTTTACTGAAAGTAGCTTCACACCGTCCCAACTGATAGACCTACAACTCCTACGCCTAAGGCTCAGGTGATGATTTCAAAAGACAGAGCAGAAATATTGTAAGAACCAGAGGAACAGGAAGTTTGCTGTAAGATTTTGTCTTCTGGAAAGTCAAAAGCTATATCCATGAAGTCTCATCAACATGGTTGTTGTCTAACAACATTTTTTTAAAAAGAGGCCATCAATTGCAAAGAAAGCAAGGCAGGATATGTGGGAAGGTTGGGCAGGAGAAAGGGGGAGAGAGGAATGATGCAATTATATTCATGATCTCAAAAAATAGTATTGACAAAAATGATAAAGAATGGCTCTCCACCCAAAATCACAAGTACAAATTCTCTATCCTCTAGCCCTTCTCTTCAGTGCTCCTGACTGTGAATGGCCACACCCACTTTCCAAACTCATGGAGTCCTCCAACTTCCTGTTTCATTTCCGGAGTCTATGAACATCCTAAACAAGACTACAAGTCACTGGACATCTGAGCTTGTCACGCCCCAGCACCCTCAAGTCCACTTGTGTTTCTCAATATGGCATTTACGCAGCAAACTCTCACCGCAAGATCAATGCTATTGCAGAATCTAGATGGATGAGCCCTGAGTCAACATTAACCATTCAGATAATTGTCAGAACAAACATTCACTGTCTGACTGCGGGACCTCAAGAACTCCTCTCCATCTTTTTACTTAGCTAACTCTATTCTCTACTCTCCTGGGTAAGTGCTGGTTTCCGTAGGCTAAAAATGCATTGCTGTATCTACCAAGGAACCTCACTAAGGTTTGCCACCTTGTTTTACGTAGACAACATAATGTCTTCTTCATTTCAAAAGCTGATGTTTCAAGAAGAGGAAAGTCAGAGGCTCATGATAACACAAAAGTGATTTTTTTTCCAGATTTCCCCATTCCCCTAAAACCAGTAAATTAAGACATTCTCGAGGCTCATCGAATGCTCTCTTAGTTGCAGCGGTTCACCTCACTTCTATTACTCTAGTTATACAAGGACTTTGAAAGGTCTGATAACCAATACAGGTCTCTCTCTAAGCATCATGACAATTTCAAGTCAACATTTCCACATTGTCTAAAACGTACCTCAAAATCACATATCAGGCTGGGGAGATGAGAAGAGTGCTTGGGACCACAACCATGAGGACCTGAGTTCCAATCGCCAGAAGTCATGAAAACTCTGCTGTGGTGAAAGGTATCTGTAATCTCAATGTTCCTACAGTGAGTCAGAAGGTAAAGACAGAAAAATCCCTGAAAGGAAGCCTGGTCTATACAGCAGTGAGCAATAGAGGCTCTGTCTCAAACATGGTGGAAGGCAAGAACCAGTATTCAAGGTTGTTCTCTGGCTACATACATGCCATGACTCACTTGTACCCATACACAAATAAAACACACACACATATATATATATGT